ATAAGGTCACCGCCGACCATCACTGGCCATAGGCGAGGGCGTCATGGCCCTCCCCTAGATTTGGTGAGGGCGAGGGCTCAATAGTAAGAGTAGAGTTGGCTCGGCCACGTTGCCCTAGCCGGCCAAAGTTATAAAAAAACAAAAATAAAGAAAAGAAAAGAAAAGAAGGGAAAAATCAAAAATATATTAAAAATTGTTCACGTCAGTGTTGGTTTTGTCATAAAGGACGGCTGATGTTCATGTCATGGATTTAATTAGCAAAACGTAAAAATATTTATGACTCAATTGATAAAATTAAAATGTTTAGAACTGAATTGATAAAAATATAATTGGTTTAGGACTGTTTAGATAATTTTTTCGAAAGAAAGAGAAAAGAGAGAGGATCTGCTGGAAGCACATGTACTTCTTCCTGGTGAACTGAAACTACTCCTTTTCCTTTTACCCTTTTTTTCTTGAGAACGTGGCCTTCTTCCTGTGGATTGATCTTATCATTCAATGCCCTTTTTCGATTCCTCACACTTTCACCTTTCAAATTCTATGTGTGGAAGGGTCCACCTTCCACACCCCTTTTGACAAATCCCCAGTTACGTGCTTCTTCTTCTTGCTTATAGTTTTTGGTGGAGTTTTCTCTTTTCACTTTTCAATTAATTCGACCTGGGCCTGTCTAATGAAGGTTGAATAATCGTCGACGATGTTCAGCGATCAATTAATGGGTTCTTTCGGAGTAGTTTCCAACTTGCTGTTTGAAAATCACTCGAGCGTCAATATGTGTTTGATCCCTGTGAGTTTCTTATATCATTAAAGAGAATGTCGGGTTTGTGAACTCATCTTGATAGATTATTTCTTTTGTGTTTCTTGATCGATACCATCGCACAAGACTCCTTTTCCGAAAAGAAGTTCTTCAAAGTACTAGCAATCAAAAGCAGCTATGCATTAAAGTTATTGGCAAGTGAGCTTTTGCCTATCTACACACGCTATTACTTGCACAGGAAGGTCCATTCGATGTCTGGCATCGGACCTTTTTAAAAGGATGCGAGATGGGATTATTCTCTTGTTCAAAGGACAAGATGCCATTGTTCCATTAGAAGCAAAAAAAACCGTGTGACCTGAAATCCCATCTCCATGAAGAGACGCGTATAAAGCTGTGCGCTAGAAACAGGTTCGCTTGAGACCAACGTCAGTTCAATTAAAGAAGAGCAAGGAAGGGGATGAGGGAATGGTTACAAGCTCTAGCTTCTGCTTGGGGATTCATGCTGCTGATTGGCCTTACCTGTTGCTGTCTCAGCACCAAACCTCCCCAGCAAAGCGACGCCAGCAGTGGAAGCGCCAGCTGCAGCTGCGATGGCGGTTACGCCGGTGTCTAATACCATCCTTTGCGGCTTTCCCTCTTTTTTTTTTTTGATTGAAAATAGGGATATTCATTCTCCTCTTCCTCTTCATCATTTTGGCTTTCTTGGTTTTGTAATTCCAACCGGTCACGTTTCTTGGAAAAATCTCAAATTCATTCCTGCAATGGACGGTGTGGCAAACAGAACCGATCACTGGGTAACCAAAATTTCATAAGCTTTATTGTTGGCGCGGATCCGATTTCCGTGAGTTATCGCCTTCTCAACAACAGCCTGACTCTGCTGGTACAATGTGCGTGTAATTGGGGAGCACCTCATCTTGGGTGCCGTTAACGACGGTGATCTGCGACGTGTAACATGTCCTGTGGTACATGATGTTCTCGAAATGGCCACTGCCCATGGGAGGAGTAGATTCGTCGTTTGGCACAGAGAATACATATCCACCCCATCTCGCAGTGTCTGCCGCCCCCATGATCACCTTCGGCCAGTAATTAACCGGATCTTGGATCTTATTCATGAACAAGTACCATGCTTGTGATGTCGGGTCCTGAAAAAATTGCATGCGCCCGAGTATACACGAGTAAAGAACATGAGATGAACACCTAAAAATGGAGAACTAATCGAAGTTTGCTCTTTATGGACTGACCATCAAGATTAAGCAAAGCATTTCAAGCGTCTTTTAAAAGTAGGAAACTTCATAAAATAGGTGAAAATATGGTTGAACTTCTAGGGTTTCGTCAAATGTATTAACCTCTTCACATCCAGTAAAAGCAGTAGCTGAGCAGAACAGAAGTGGAATAGTGTAAATAGAGATGTGTTGAACTCACCTGCCTAATAGCAAATCGCACTACATACTGAATCCTGCCGTAGGCTGAGATCTTATCAAAATAGGATCGAAGTGATACTCGACGATTAAGGTACACAAAGCCCGGGCATTGGATGTTGTAGCATCCTGTGGATTTGTGATTATCATTCTGATCCACATGCAAGCAAAAACAACACAAAACCAACTTGTTAATAGCCCTTAATTTCTCTTTTTATATGCTTTCAACCTGCTGATTATTAGGGTTACACAAAGTTACGCCGGCTCACCGTCCATGACAAGTACCACTATGTCCGACCGTTGCCATACAAATCCGGATTCGCCTTTAGCGTGAATGTACCGAGTTATTAATTGAACACGACAATTCACATGCGTATATGTATGTAGTAATGTGAAGGGAATTCTAGGATGCTTTGGGACATCCTTACCGTCCACCCGACTTGTATTTGACTCAGACTAGGCAGATTTCCTGCTTGAAGGGAAATGGCAGCCGAGCTATAATGGTAAGGCAACTAACCGCCGGACTGTAGATGTTGAGTCGTGTTGCTGTTCCGCTGTCTTTCAAGGCTCTTGATGTCTAACGAATGCAGTGAGACGGATATGTTCATCCCCTTCCTCGGTCATTTCCAATCCAACCGCGCAGAGTCACACAGCTAAAAGAACACAGCATCGTCTAGTCCCTAATGGTGCCCAGTGTTGGTGAAGGAAGAGAGAAGGAAAAGGCAGAGAGCGGATTTCTTCTGTTTCTACCATAGGGAGTTAGATGATCTTTCCATTTCAAAGCTTCCATCACCATTTTGAGACAAAATATGGACATCTCAATTCATCATCAGGAACCCCACGACTGACATGTTGCCGGAAGAAGGATCACAGGTAGCAAAGTGGACGCGATTCAGGCCCATGAGTAATAGCACTCTAAGTGAAATTAGGGTTATGACGATGTGACGATTGTGTGAGTCTACATATATAAGGTCATCAAATGGCTAGATTGGGTCGGGTCGAAAATGGTCCAATCCAAATTGATCCATATAACCCATTTTGATTCATTTATATATAATACAAATTTAATGACTCATACTAGATCCGACCCATACTCAACCTAACCCATTTATTAAAATACTTCCATATTTAATCCAACTTATGAAAATCCGTATCCACCTAGTTAACCCACTTTAAACCCTTCAAGAGCATTTGTTATTTGGATAAAATTGCTATTTCCACTATAATATGCTAAAGAATTGGCTTTTGACTTTGCAAATGGCATGTACAAAAGCACAAATGCATCAGGCCAACACTGGTTGCATTTGAAGCATCTTATATGTGTGAAGCGAAAGAATCCATATATTAGCATGACTGGTAGAGTAAGAATATAGTTTAAAAAGAAAGAAAAAAGGACCTGAATGCACAAAAGAAGTCCGTGGACAAAATTGCACAAATTGAAAAACTTCAGGGGCCTCCCGTGTTACTATTCGTGGGCGGGGTGAAACGGTTGGTCCGTGAATAGCCGCGCACCAAGTTGAAAGCAAGTGAAGACACAAATGAAAGAAAGTAAATCAAACTTGTTTCAAATCCTCAATCATAGTGAAAAATTTCAATGGGAGGGATCAAGCCCAATCATGATTCACTTACGATTAAAGCATTGTTAGTTTACGATTGTAAAGTATAGAAAAGCAATCGAGTATGCAAGTAGCGGTCGCCGGAGAGCTAATTTGCTATGAAGTGACTCTTACGTAATTTGTCTGAATCTCTTCGTTCCATTTTGTGTTATACCCATAAGAAAAATATTGTTCCATTTCGATCTTGACCCTTAACTTTGTATTACATAATGACCTCATCCCATGGAAGACTTGATTTTGTTTATCTTATTTGCTGATGTAGGATCTACCAATGATACGAAAGACTATTAGAAGTTGGTAAAGTAACACTTGAGGTGTTATAGGTTACAAACACTATGTTTTGTTAAATATTTCGTATATTTGAAACATTAGAGACCAATATCTGACTAAGTTGTTTTGATTCATACGTTTGAGAGTACGAGTTCCGGTCCAAGCATGGCACAGGTTGTTCAGAAAATTCTAACAGGGTTGTTCTTGGTCATGCGAGGTGGATTGCAAGTATGACACAGGGCAAGCGACAGGCCATCACCGTCCGCGTTATTTCTATCAAGGGGCAGTGGTCGCGCCAACAGTAGTTGATCCGAATTAACACGGCATAGACACGAACAAATGCCACTACAGCTGTCTAGGCATGTAGCACAGGCGTCGAGAGAAAAGAAACACCACATTAGTCATCTGTAGCCATCAAGGTAATGCCCAAAGCTTCTGAAAGCCAGACGCAAAAGCTGGTAAGTGAGGCCTGAGGTGGAGTCAGATGCGTTCTGAGTTGTGATGGAACAAAACAAAGTGCTACTTCTTTTGGCTGCCATAGTGTTTGGACGACATTGGGATCCACCCCACCCATTTGCTAGAATTAAGACGCTACGGAGCACTGACTGCACATTGAGCAAGCTCATCACGGCATCCTCACCAAGTGTGAGTGCGGAAGCCTAAGAGTGGAGATACATCTAAACCAACGTCCGTCATCCTTCACAGACTAACCAAGATTTCTTTCTTAAGACCAATGATAGAACGGGGAATAAACCCCATGACCTTTAGTTTGCAAACCAAGTCTAGGATCATTCAACCAGACCACCTGGTTGGTAAAAAGCTAGCGCTACATATCTGCTGTCAGGTCACATTCCAAACCTCATGATTGGCACTGTAGAACAACCCTATCCTAACCTACAACTGGTAAGTAAATGAGATTTTCATTCAGCATCCAAGAAATATCGCTTTGACCCACCAACAAGTGTATTGTAAATTGGCATTAATAAATGACTATTCAAGATGCAAAAATGACAATCTTGCCCGCACCAAATTGGTACATATTCATACGGTATTTACATTTCAACCTTTTTGTTGCCCACATCAATAATCTGCCTTGTAATTTAGGCACCTCTTGTACAAGTCAATGATTGACCCAACAAGCAAAATTTCTCAATGAATGATCTAATTGCACACCATGCCAAAATTTCATATGAATAACTCAATATTCAGCTAAACCATGAGTAGATGTGAATCTAAGTACCAAAGCTGCGATCACCTGCATCTCCAAGTCCAGGAATTATGAACCTGAAATAGGAAAAGATATTGTTGTATTGGACTATGGTACCAAATTGTGAAAAAGTCACAAAGGGAGCTGATTCTTACCCCTTGTCATTCACAGTTGGATCAATGATTCCGGTGTAAACATGAAGCCTGTAAAAGCCAGACATCATTGGTCAATCTTGTCGTTTACAAAAGCCTCTAAAACAGACAGACTTCTGCTTCGGATAGCAAAAAAGCGACATCTTTTACCCGGGGAAGTTTTCACTGAGCTTTTGTAGAGCTGGAGGAGCAGCAACTGCTGATATCTGCAAGTACATAATCTCCTAATTAGTTTTCTAATTGACAATGTTAAAAACACTATGAAATCATCTCTAATCACAAGACAAAATTTTACCAAAATAAGTCAAGTTGAAAGATCCATAGATGTATTACTATCCTGACTGAAAAATGCAGTTTTGCGCTCTTCATGCTTCCAAGTCTCGTTATATTAACTCCATATTATGAAGATAATAAAAAGCTCGGACAGAAATAAACCAATCCTTTTATATTTGAATGACACAAAACAGCTGAAGTCGCCCAAATGATTGTGTACCCACCTTTAGAAACACAAAATCTACAAGGGAACTAGTTATTCAGATTTTCCTGCTCTCGCTAACAATCATCCATGTCCAAGCACATAAAACTGTCTGCTGTCTCCGCACATTCGACTAACAACTACATGTCAAGCACTAATTCTCTATGGTGCCGGATATGAAACACCTAGAAACTTCAACTATCCATCAAGCACATTTTACTCTTCTTAAAAAATCAACAAAAGAACTCCTACGGCGCATCCACCGAGTAAATCTGTGATCTTACACTTTGAAAAATGAAATGGAGAAAAATTAAGCTTCAACTAGAAAGAATAGAAAAAACTGTTCTAAAGAGAAAGCCCATAAAAAATCTGCTTATTATACATTACCAACTAAAGCTAACAATGAACAGCATGATCTACTATGCTTTGATTACAATGCATACAGCTGCTTCTGTGACCAATTCATAAATGCACAACTTGCAAATATGACTAATGGCTCAGACAATCTAACCCAAGAACGGGGACTACATATTCTTTACCACTTTGATTTGCTTGCTGTTGACCCCACGTTCCTTCAAGAGATTAAGTGCTGCCACTATTGTGCCCCCTGCAAAAGATGGGGTAAGTTGTGTCAGACCAAACACAAATTTTGCTATAACAAAATCTCCACAAACACCAGGTTTAACAGAGATACATGTGAATTTTGTCACTTTGATAATGCCAACTACATCATTGAATGGCCTAGATATCACCGACACTACTAAAACAAGAAAAGACACTTTGAACGAGTAGGATACGATACCTGTTGCCAGCATCGGATCTACCACAAATACTCGAGAACCATCGGCTAATCTATCAGGCAACCTGTGGACACAGTACAAAATGTAGGGAAGAATCAGAATGACGTTGAAGAGAATTGAACCAACTGATAATCACATTGGTGTACTAATTTGAGAGAGTTAAGAGAGATTGTCAACTAAAACCTGTGAATTTCAGGTTTTTCAATTGACTTGCACAAGGATATGATTACAAGTCCAAGAACCCACAAAGAGGAGATACAGAAAAACTGCAACCCTGTATGTTCATAGGGAAATGGAAAGTGGTAGAGAAGGAAATGCTTCCCAAGGAAAACTTTTCTTTCGTTTGGCTAGATAAAATGAGAGTGAAAAGAATAAAAGTGGGAAGAAGCGTTTCCCTTTGGCCCCACTTTTTATTTCCTCATAGAGTTGGCAGGAAATGAAGGGACATTAACCTTTCATGCACGTGTACCCTCCAATTCATTATCAAACATGAATATGACAAAAATATTTAACTACACTTACTAAGCTCATTTCTCTACGTATCATTTTCAGCAATACACATTCGAACATAGTACAAATATAGTGCAAATATACCTTCGACTTTCTCTTGCTTTCCCCTCCTTTCCCTCCTAACTTAAAAGATCAAACATAGTGCAAATATGAATTTGCGGATTCTTACTTGTTCAAATACACAGTTGGCTGAAGTGTTTCCTCATTTCTGCTGATACCTTCATTTACGGAAAATAAAAGTCATGATCCCCATTGTAAGTCACCAACGCTGAACCCATTTCATGGGAAACAGACAGATAATCAACTCAAAATGAAAAGATAAAAGAAAAGTGAATCAGAGTTGAAATAGATAACAGGTGGGAGGACACTACCACTCCCGAGACAGTCGAGTCACTAAATAACCAAGAATTGGCTTGTCTTTTGGTTTGAAGAATTATTAATCAATGCTTGCAAATGATCACTATATAAAGGAAGAAAACACCAGGTGGAGTGCACCCAATGCATTCCTTGCCCTTAGATCATGCATGTCCTGTGTGTGGCCAGCGAAAAGGACTGAGAATGCATTGCAGGCTCTCCACCTGGTGCAACCTAAAACCTCTCCTCTTAATGCCTTTAGAATGCAAATAGGGATGTGAGAAAACCTAGATGATATGTTTTTGTTGCTGGCAAGATTGATGATGCATATTCAACAAGAGCAAGACCAGCTCTTAAGATTGGAATAACCTGAAAAAGAGAATAAATACCAATGTCAGTGCTGTTGCACATGGTCATGGAATGAAGAAAACAAGGTCCTGTCCTGTGGTATTTTCATCAAAATTGGGCAAATCTAGGTGAAGAATGTATGGCTAACGTGGGGGACCCAAGAATGGTTATAGTATTCACCAACCAACTCAAAATCTACCCCTCTCAAGAAAACCAAATGCATTTATTTTCACAAGAGATGAATTAACATGTCAATGTCATCTTTTCTATAGGAAAGTCGCGAACATGAAAACTTACCACCACAGGTTCCCTCGGATCAATGAATTCAACAGAGGCAACACCCATTGGCGATTGAATCTCCCCAGCGATCGTAGGCTAGCGGCACCCAAAAAAAAAAAAGCACACATGGAAGTGAGTACAGTGAGGGTTCCCCCATAAAGAATATAAAAAGACAATTCTTCAGAGATCCACGCATTTTGTCAAAAAAAGAATCCTAGCTAGTAATGACAAGAAAATGACAGGAAAAAAAGAGTGCTTTTGAATGGGGGGTATCTTTCTGTCACGCAACAGCAAACTTCTTAAAGTATTCCAGTGAAGATAGGAGTACTCTGAAGAATTAGGGGTGTCATGTTGTGAATGAGCATCTATCTCATCCTGAGACAGGAAAATGGGATACTTGCAATGAAATAAACTGTGAATACATATGAAAAAGAAGATGATTATGATGAAGCAGCAGACCTTGGAAAGATGGAAGAGTTGGTCCACTCAGTCATAAAGGCAATATAGAAGATAACATAGGTTTAACAGTCAGATAGAAGGAACAAATGCCAATACTAATTTAAGTGCCAAGCTCACATCGACTGCTTATTCATCCATTCTTCAGTTGGTCCATCGTTTAATTTCAGAAAACACTTTAAAAATAGTCACTCCCTCACCTTGCCTACAATGAGTAACAAGCAAGTGGTTTGGCACAAGTGCCCCACGAAATTTGTTTATCTTGTGTGTGTGTGTGTGAGAGAGAGAGAGAGAGAGAGAGAGAGAGAGACAACCAAATTTTGCAGGAATTCTTGGTACAAAATGGAACATGAGAAAATAGAAGATTGATTTGGGTCATACTTCATAGCTCTCAGGAGAAACTAAACTTAAACCTGGCTATTCTCTCACCATCACAAGTATAAATGCGAACATCCCAAAGGGAACATCAAAGAAATTTTGGTTTTAGAAGAAATTTTGGCTTAAAGTTCCTTTTAAAGAAGTAGCACCTTTAGCTATGTCTTATAAGAAAAATATGGAACATATTACTAGAACACCTTAAAGGAAGGTAAAGTTTGTGCAGCACAAAACAAACTCCACAAGTTGAGGGTAAACAACAATATAAACAGTTTTTACTCAAGTGCAAATGAATGACTAACCAACCAATCTCTTGAAGCTTCATACATGAGTAGCCTCCCCAGCTCAGCCATTGCATTTTCTACAAGTAATGGACAAGGACATGCAAAATTAGTACATTAAGATTATATCTTGAATATAGACTCCCATAATTCCACCTTTATGCTTTTATGTGCTGATCTATGCCAAATGGAGAAGAACAAACAGTACAGCGGGCGAGCATGGATCAGCAAAGGAGAACAGACCAAAGAGCATGAAGATTAAGCAGATACAGAAGAGTCGACATTGAGATAGATTATCCAATGCAGCAGAAACAATTGTCAGAAAGCCAGAAGAAGAAATAGGTAGGTTTATTGGGTCCCATCTATTTCTATTGCCCAAACCATAATACCAAGAGATAGAAAATGTACTTCAATGTAGGGAGTGAATAATATCACAAAGGAAAACATCACAATGGCAATATCCTAAACCCACTACATTAAATGAAACAATGATGACCTTGATCACGAATTTTTGCAATCTGTTTCTGTATGAAAGTCGAGCATTTTAACAGTGATACACAGGTTGTGACTAAAAGATTGGAAAATGGAGGGAATCTACAATTTTGTGTCTTTATCATAAGATCCAAGAAGCAGAAACATGGCAAAAAAGCATGTATGGTCCCCAAATTTCGTCGTGTAGAGCAAGGAAAGCATAGTTTTCTAGTTATAAAGAAAGGAAAGCAAATTTCATGTCAAGGAGATATCTCGATCCACATCACAATTTATGTTGCCTCATGAGTCATAGCAAAAAAAGAGAGGCGAAGACAATGACCGGAAAACTTACTGAAAATGGGACAGGGAGTCTGTTCATTCCTAAGAACCGAAACCCAGTGCTTGATTAAGGGATGCGGCGGAACAAATACCTGAAGAAACCCAACAAACAAATTTCACCGACAAAACGAAGCAAATATACCCAACATGTCATAGAGTAAGAGTAACATGAAGACTTTATAAAACAAAAACGTAAAGCCACTTGATGTGACTTTTCGAACACACGGCAACCAAACTGCAATCTCATCTTCAGAAATAGAGCACACAGCACACGGATGATGGAAACGACAAAATCGATGCCACTGACAAAACGTCATGAAGCAACAACATAGTTCTAAACGAAAATTGCCAAGTTGGTCGCGAGAAAAATATATGAATAAACAAATACACAAACAACAAAACAAAGATGCATTGAGATGCTCATCCCGGCTTAGACACCACACATTTCAGCTCAGCAGCCAAAGCAGCACGCCGGATCAAAGAAAAAACATTCGAATCGCGGGCACTCATCTAAATCTAGAGAGCAGGGAAAGCAGCGAACTGACAAGCATCTGGTCCTCCGAAAAAGCGGGCTTGGGCTCCGTCGCCATGTGCGAGTTCACAGCGAAATGCATCCGCCGCCGCGTGCCGGTGCAGGAGATCTGCGAGACAAAGAAAACCAAAGAACCCCAATTGTACCCCGTCGACGGACGAGCAATCCGCACACCCACCCACCCACAAACCCACACGCGCACACACACACACACATACCCACGCAGAGAGAAAAATATGATTTTCACCTTGCGGGTGCCGGGGAGGGAGGAGGAAGGCGATGGCTTGGGGTCAAGAGGGAGGCGGAGGCGCGGCAGGTCGGAGGAGAGGCGCCGGAGAGAGAGGCCTAAGCCGCAGGGAGAAGAGGAGGAGGAAGCCATGCATCAGGGGGACTCGGAACTTCTTTTGAAGTGCGGAGCTTGAAGAGAGAGAGAGAGAGAGAGAGAGAGAAAGCGAGAGGCTTTTTGGGTTTTTGCATCTCCGTCCTCCAAAAAAGTGATATTCCGCCGGAAGTTCTGAAAAATCAAATTGGGCTTTGCATTTTAGCCCGTTGGGCTCCTTCTTCGGCCCATTTACGTAGTTGGGCCTAATATAGACCTGTCAAACGGGTGGGTTGGGTCGGGTCATAAATGGTCCGACCCAAATAGACTCATTTAACCTGTTTTGACCCATGAAAATCTAATGATCTATACCCGACCCGTATTGCCAAAATACTTCCATATTTAACTCAATTTAAGGAAACTCATATCCAAACTGAGATGAGAGTACGGAGTGAGTGGGTGCGAGAGAGAGTGAGGGTGAGAAAGATAAGTTGAGTTTAAATAAGTTGTAAACTCATTTACTTTACAACCGATTTATAACCCATTTTAACACTCATATTATGTTTATACCCATTTATAATCCATTTAATGAATATAGCTAACTTATTTATAATCCATTAATGATAGATGGGTTAAGAAATGGGTTTATGATTCATTTTGATAGGTCTAAGTCCAATGGTCCGTCCAATTTTGAGGCCCACCAATGTACTTAATTAGATGGAGAGATTTCACTCGAACAGCCCCCACCCCCTGTGACATTAGGCTAATTCTAAAAAAGGCACAAACTTTAACTTGAGTGATAATTTTGACTCGAACTTTTTTTGTCTTAATAAAAAGCACCAACTTTTACTCGAGTCCCAAATCCGGCCCCGTGATGTAAAATTTTTAAATTGTTCGGGCCAAATTTGAGATTTAAATGAAAGTTAGTGATTTTTTATGAGACAAAAAAAAAGTTCGGGCTAGAATTGTCACTCAAGGTAAAATTAATGTTTTTTTTTTGAATTAGGCCCATAGCTTTCGCATCGTTGCGCGATAGCCTCAAGAGGTTACTCGATACTCCTCCGAAGTTTGCCATAGTTGCACCATGTCGGTTGAACTTTGAAAAGTTGAAGAGCAATCCTATTGAAACGGAGTTCTCGGAAAGACAAACGAAAATGGGAATTTGAAAATCGAAGAATTGAAAAGAAAAAAAGTTTCTAATGCAATTTTTGAGAATATGTCTGATTGTCCAAATCCTAGTCTTTCGTTTCCTAAGAACAGGTAGAGCTATAGTGATCAAATGCCTTTGCCGTTTTAGAAGTCACCACCAATCATTATCAGGTCAATTGGACCTAAAGATCATGTGAGATTTTGTGACACTACTGCCAACTGTTTTAAAAGCTGAAACTGTTAGATGAAGACGTAATTTTATATTTAATTATTTTAACACTCTCCTCATGTTTAGTCTAGACTTTTTGCCTAGTACTAAGCGTGGATATATTTAATTAAGGAGGCAAATGTGGCCTGGCAAGATTTAAACTCAGGACCTCAAGCTCTGATGTTATGTGAGAAAATAAAGAATTGAGTCGATGAAGCGTTACATTTCATTGATATGTTGTACAATATAAATAGAGATATTATCACCTATAATTATAGTAGAAGTTGAAGATAAAATATACAATTTGATTTACAAGGAAATTGAATAAAAGACAAATCATAAAAATTTTCCAAATGATCAACTTGTACATACTCTGCTTGATATGTTATCTTTGTGCTAATTGGTAGAAGATTTTGCACTGCAACCATTCTGATTTTTTTTCTTTTTGATTTGTTGCTTCAATACTCCCCTTAAAACCGGTCAATGGGGAGGACCAAAGACCAAGTTTGATTCTTAAACCAACAAAACTATCTCGATTCAATGGTTTATCAACAATTTGGGAGGAAGACGGAACATAACGATTTACGATAAAACCAAGAGCAACCTTTTCTCGAACAAAATGATAATCGATCTCAATGTGCTTTGTTTGAGCATGAAAAACTTGGATTAGTTGTGAGATGTAATACTGACATATTATTCGAGAAAAGAAATGAAGGTTGATGTTGATAGATCCCAATGTCATGTAGTATGTATGAAATCCAAGTGAGTTCAGCAACTGCGGAAGCAAGAGCCCGATATTCAGCTTGAGCTGTAGAGCGGGCCACAGTAAGTTGTTTCTTGGCATACCATGAAATTCAATTTGAGCCGAGAAAAGTACAATAAACAGTGGTAGAATGTCGGGTGAGTTTGCACCCTGCCTAGTCTGCATCGACAAAGCCAAATAATTGGAGAGAACTACAAGACAAAATGTGAAGCCGAAGGTGTAAAGTACCACGAACATATCACAGAATACGTTTTACCATTTGATAGTGAGCAACTTGGAGCACGCATATGTTGGCCAACTATGTTGACCGCAAGCGAGAGATCTGGAAGAGTAAAGATAAGGTACTGGAGAGCGCCTACAATACTTTGAAAATGGGATGGATCGGCATAGGGCTTTTCACCATGTTTGAGTGGTGGTTGTGTGGTTGCTATTGGAGTAGCAATCAGCTTACATTGCGCCATTGATGCTCGATTCAAAAGATCCAAGGCACATTTTTGTTGTGAGAGAAAGAGTCCATCAGTGAAGTGATTGACTTCAATGCCCAAGAAATAATAAAGAGCGCTAAGATCTTTCATGGAAAACACTTGACCAAGTGTTTGCACAAGATGATTTAGTAATTTCGGGGAATCACCAGTGAGGACTCTATCATCCACATAGAGCAATAGAATAATAATATGACCATGATGACAATAAACAAGTAGTGATAGATTAGCTGTGCTGTAGAAGAATCCATATTTGAAAAGAAAGTCATTGAACTTGTCGAATCATGCCTTGGGATTTCTAATCAAAATATGATTAGATAGGATAGGATATGAAATTCAAGGAATTTACTATATCATATCTATTGTTTGGTAAATCGCGGTAATAAAGTTGGATTTTTTCACTTATTACCATGTTCATTTATTTTTTTATGAATGTCATATCAATATAAATGAACCTGAAAATTGCATAAACGGAGATGAGAAAAATTTCTCACGACACTTTTACCTACTTCATTTTTTTTGCTAATTTTTTTTAATTTTCCCTCTCTTTTTTAATAATTTCATTTTTTATTTTATTTTTTCCCTTCCATCATTCTCTAATAAATTTTATTAAATAGTAAACTATAAAATATACTAAAATATGTAATAAATATAAATACTAAATGTATTTATTTATATATATGAAATTTATATCATAACATAGAAAGAAATTTGAATATATAAATAAAAATAAGAATACATAAAAAGGACTTTATTGTTATTTTTTGGTATTTTGAATTTTTATATTAAAATTCAAAGTATTATTTATATTCAAATATTATTTTAATTTTATTAATTTAACAAGTTTGTTATTAGAAATGCTATCCACCTTCATCTCACCTCCCCGATATGATAATTTTATCCGGGTTATATCTCTTATATATTTGCTTTATCCTTTCTTGGGTAGGCACCAAACACGGGATAAATAAAATTTATCTTATCTCGAATTTTATCTCAATTACCAAAACGTAACCTAGGTATTAGGGAGAAGTAGACTGATCACTTAAAAGGTCAACTAGCCTAAGAAAATCATAATTCGAGGTTTCCGCGAGTTCGGTTATGTGTGAGAAGGGTTGGCAACCTATATCCATGTGTTAAGCTCTACAATGCAATATCTCATGATTTCCTATATCAATATGCATATAGTTTTTCTTTTTATGCTTTGACAATGCGAAAATCTCGTTGTCTGCCCTTACATGACATCGCACATCACGGGGTGAGCAATGACTTGTTCCGTCGTGTCGAGTATACCCGTTTTTTTTCTCAAAATATGCAACGCATGAATGCAGTAGAATTAATCAAACAATAGAAAAATCCAATCCAAATTAGACAACGTTCCAAAGACAGACACAAATCTAATGCCAACGGTATGTTTCAAGACAAAGAAACAAGGATGAATCCAGTCCAATCAATACGAAATTAGTCAATAGACCTTGGGTATGAAAACTAAGCAAACGGGACGGATCCCATCGCAATCATGACAACATGCAATCCAATCAGCGTGCATCTTTACAACATCGTTAAATTTCATGATGGCCTTTAGCAATTAATAAAGGCGTGTGGTTTTCATTCAGTGTGCAGATATAATCAGCTTTCTGATTCAACCAGCATGCAAGATCAGTCGGCGTTCTATTAAAAAAAACATGCAAACCAAATCAGCGTTCTAACTCAATCAACCACGGTCTTTCATCCCCAAACAGTAGTTAGTCAAGATAACTATTCAGACCTTGTAGAACATGCTAAGAGCTAGTGTAATTGGTTTTAAGGGTAGCTGGGAGGTTCACTTGCATCTAGTTGAGTTCTCCTATAATAATAGCTACCAGAGAAGTGTCAGCATGACTCTATTTGAACAGTTATATGGCTGCAAGTGTAGATCTCCTATATGTTGGGAGGAGATTGATGAGATGAAGTTGACTGGGCTAGAATTAATTTAAATTTGTCTAGTGTCACACTAATTATTGTAGAGAGATTTCGGATTGCATAAAGTTAGATCAAAATTTATGTAGACAAGCAGCTACAAGGGGGTGTCAACGGTCTGATTCAGTTTATCATAACCATATAGAACCATTAAGGTGTGTATTTTCTTTAAAGGGTTAATACCACAAAAAACCCCAAACTGGTACATCTGTGATAAATTTACCCTAAACTATTTTTTTGATCACAAAAAACCCTAAACTGGTACACCTGTGATAATTTTACCCCGAACTATTTTTTTGACCATAAAAAATCCCACACTGGTATACCTGTAACAATTTTACCCCCGAACTAATTTTTTGACCACCAAAAACCCCAAAATGGTGCACCTGTGACAAATTTATCCTCCGTTAGTTTCCGTTAAATTTTACAGTCAAATTGCTAAGTTTAATGACACGTGATAATTGACATGTGTACCGGTTTTGGATTTTATCCCTCTGTTTGTCACAAGTTTACCAATTTGTGATTTTTTGTGATATTAATATAATTTAATGGACACTAACAGAGGGTAAATTTGTCAC